AGATCCCTTTCTGAAGGGCTGCTCTTCAACTGCTCCTCTCCCAGTATATTCCTGTGTTTTTTCCAGTGGTACTAGTAAAGGCTCAGTTGAAATGCAAGCTAATTTTACTGACATCTTTATGGCACCTGCTTATGGTACATGACTAGCCAGCTAGTCATGCCTGTGACTGATAAGAGAGCATAAAATCTAGCTAGCCTTCTACTTTTCTGAGTATTGCTGATTTCTTTTCTCTCTTACACACCTTTAATAATCTTAAAAAGGAAAAAGTTATTTAATCAAAATCTGTCTTCATAAGCAATATTTTTATTAAATCTAAATAGTTTGCCCCCCCAATGACCTTTATAGAGGATATGTACATGAACAACATTTATGACAAAATATTCCAGAGATTCTCTTCTGAAAGCGAAATTTTACAGAGAAGAAAAAAAATCCATTGTGCATGCCTGCTAAAATAACACAGACCTTGAATTATTATTTCTTCTTCATAACTGCATTCAATATATTCAATAACCTGGGGGACAAATTTTTCTCACATTCATGATGAAAACCTCCTGCTGTTTAAATCAATAGGACTTTTACCTTTCAATTTAAGGCATCCAGTTTTCACCTTCAGATTGCTTTCCTTAAAAGGCAACATCTTCTATTACTGCAGAGAAGGTCTTCCTTTTATTTTAATAACTTGACTCTGTCATTTGCAAAGATAATAACAGGAAGCAAATCACTCCAACAAAGAAGTATCTCAGTCTGGTAATCAGTTACCTATATAGCTGAATCATCAAGGACAAATTGCCTGCATCTTGCTATCTGTCAAGAGATGGTACCTAAAAGAAGAATATATTAAAATTCCCATATCTGGAAACACTTTCCATGTCATCTCAATGAAGAAAATTTGCATTTAGAAACATAAAAAGGCAAGACACCACAGAAGTTCCAAATTGGTGACATTTTACCCTTTCCACATTTTTTCTGAAGACAGTATTCAGAATGCATGACTTTGATAAACCCTGCCTAAGGGAAATTAGATTGATGGCCTAGGGAAATAATATATAGAGATACTGTTTTAGAAATTCTAATAAATCATCTATGCAATTTTCCATTTATAAGAAGACATAAATAGAAGGCAAGATTAGAGAAATCACAGAGTAATAGAATCATAGAATGGTCTGTGTCGGAAGGGACCTCAAAGCAAAGAGGTGATTGGTAATAATCAACATGGCTTTACCAGGAGCAAGTAATGCCTGACAAATTTGTTGACCTACAGTGGGGCCACAGAATTTGTGGATAGGGGCAGAGCAACTGATATCATCTACTTGGACTTACGCAAGGCATTTGACACTGTCCTGTATGACATCCTAATCTCTAAATTGAAGAGGCATGGATTTGATGGATGGAGCACTTGGTGGATAAAGAACTGGCTGGACAGTCACATGCAGAGAGTTGTGGTCAGCAGCTCGTTTTCCACGTGGAGGCCAGTGAGGAGTGGTGTCCCTCAGGGGTCAGTGCTGGGGCTGATACTGTTCAACATCTCCGTTGGCGACATGGGCAGTGGGATTGAGTGCACCCTCAGCAAGTTCACTGATGACACCAGGCTGTGTGGGGCAGTGACACACTGGAGGGAAAGGATGTGCCATCAAGAGAGACCTTGACAGGCTCGAAGGGTGAGCCAATGCAAACCTCATGAAGCTCAACAAAGCAAGGTGCAAGGTCCTACATTGGGATCATGGCAATCCCAGGCACACCTTACAGGATGAATGAGGAAATAATAGACACCAGCCATGAGGAAAAAGGTTTGGGGGTGATGGTAGATGAAAAACTCACCATGAGCTGTCAGTGTGTACTCTCAGCCCAGAAAACTAATCGAATCCTGGGCTGCATCAAAAGGTTTGTGGCCAACAGGTCAAAGAACGTGATTCTGCCCCTCTGCTCTCGTGAGACCCCACCTGGAATACTGTGTGCAACTCTGGTGCCCTCAACATAAGAAGGACATGGAACTGTTGGAGCACGTCCAGAGGAGAACCACAAAGTCGCTAAGAGGACTGGAGCATCTCCCCTATGAAGACAGGCTGAGGAAGCTGGGGCTGTTTCATGGAGACCTCATAGCAACCTTTCTGTATTTGAAGGGCCTACAGGGGAGCTGGAGAGGGACTCTTTGTTAGAAACTGCAGTGTTAGGACAAGGCGTAACAGGTTCAAATTGAATGAGGGGAAATTAGGCTAGATATTAGGAAAAAGGTTTTTACTGTGATGGTGGTGAGACACGGGCACAGGTTGCCCAGAGAGGTAGTGGATGCCCCAATCCTGGCAGTGTTCAAGGCCAGGCTGGATGAGGCCTTGGGCAACCTGATCTAGTGAGGGGGTATCCCTGCCCTTGGCGGGGGTGGGTTGGGACTAGATGATCTGTAAGGTCCATTCCAACCCCTAAAATTATATATGATTTTTTTTGATTAAGAAAATGCAGGTTTTGGAGAAATTGTGGCTATGACTCATGCAATTTCTTAATGAATATCCTCTGATGTATACGTGAAAAACATACTGCTTTAGGAAAACATGGGCTAGTTAAAAAACCCCCAACTTTGTCATATCTCTTGTGAGCCCAAATTGTAACATCTTTTACGTTTTTATCTTTCAGAATAGGATAATGTTGCTAAGCAGAATGTATGGTTTGCAGATGCAGTGATTATTAAAATATTGGCCTTTAAAATAATGATGATCTTAATAGCCAAAATAACAGAGTAGTGAAGAACTCATTGAGTAGAATGTTAATTTCTTCCTATGCTACTTTTACACTTTTTTTCTTCAGTTTTACACAGTTCCCTAATTTTGGCTACAGCCAAAATAAGGTCAAACATTTCTAACAGCAGCTGTTACAAGAAATTTCTTCTTACATGGGCATTTCCCTAGGGCACTGATTCTATTCTGTCCTATAAAATAGGAGATTTCCTGATTAAAGTAGCACTTTAAATATTGGAGAGTCTAACACTAGTGCTGAAGGTAACAATTTGTTATCTTGTAAGCCCAAGAAATTACTGAATGCCAACAAGTATTTCATCTTTGGAATGAGCCAAAAATATGACTACTCAAGAAACATATTTAACACTATTTACTGTTTCAGTTAGGGAAGAAAAAAACGAGCAAACTGATTCTCCCATCCTGAAGCGTAAGAGTGAGATCATGTGTAAACCCATAATTCCTGATTCTTGCTTCTCGTAACAAGCACTAATTGCTCTGTTATTCCATCTTTGGTTATGGGGTTTGGGGGGAGGGGTTTGATTGGGGTTTTTTGGTTTTGTTTTTTGTCTGCTATATTGAGCTTTAATTAGAAGTTACAGCTTAGTCATGATTTTGTCTGGAAAGTTCAGACCACATCAGTGCTTGCTGACTTTGAGACCCCTGTAATAGTTCTTGACCACTGTATTTTTCCTGCATTAGGACATAGGATGGAGAACTGGGAATACTTGAACTGTGTGATGAGTAAATCAGAGATAAAGTTCCTTTCTTCAACCTGTTCTAGCAAATGTATGGCTGTGGACTGAGAGAAAATATTTCACAGATCTAATTGAAAGCACTTCCTGCAAATCATAGTTGTAGACTTTAGCAAAGTCATCCATTTTGCCTCTGGACACATAAGCATTAGAACTGGCATATGCAAGAGAACAGGAACGGTGTTTTGCAGCCTGAAGTTTAGAAAATGCATGAAAGAAATACATCAGAGCCCCATTCTCAGATATTTCCAATGCAATAAATATAAATTCATGGTATCTCTAAAAGAAGAGATGATGCTATCAGAAACTGTGCAACCCAGGTTTGTGGACAGGTAGTCCTTTGATACAGAACTGGGCTGAAAGACTCTTTGTTCACCTTCTACTTCTAGAACTTTTCCTGAAAGATACTCCTTTAACTTTGTCATATTCCTTAAAATGTCTTCTTATGCTATCAGGTAGGTTGTGCACATTCCTGAAAAGATAATTACTCAAATGCAATTAAAGTGATCATGAATGTAACTTTTGTAAAAAAATGAAAAGACATCTTCGAAACAGTGTGAGATTCTTTTCCTCTAGACTCGTCTCTGCTTTGGTTTGTTTCATTGCGTATTGTTGTGTGCAGTGTTTTCAAAGTAGTACTCAGACCATGAAAAATGGTGGATATAACAGTTTTAATGCAAAAGAGAAAATTAAAATGTCACTGACATTTTCATTCTTTAGCTCATATTGGTATATTCTAGCTCATATGCTACATAAAGCAGTAATGTCCAACCCATTGATGCAGGGACATGAAATGTCCTGTATCTTTAAGTCGATTGCTTTCATGTATTCCTACTATTTATACCATGTGTCTTTGTTCTTCCTGGTAACCTAGGAATAACTTTCAAATCCTCTTAGTCAGAACTGACTCTGTTTTGTATGTATGAGCATCAGATGTTTCTTGAATACTGCCTAAGGAATAGAGCTGAAGGTTACCTTTGACATGGTTTCAAGGTCTGGTTGCACATTGTGCCATGATCATTTTCTGAAACATGTTGTGTATTTTGCACATGGACTGCCTGGACAGTTATTTTCAAGGGGATGACTGGCTTCTAAAAGCAGAAGAATTAGAAAACAGAAGGGA